AGCTGTCCTTTCTGTTTTATGCATGATGTTATGCTTATAGGTAGCAAGATTAAAGGAAGAGTTGCAAAGGGAGAGAGATAAGAGAAAAGCTCTAGAATCGGGGCTTAATTCGTCTCGAGAACCTCGATTTCTCCCCAATAAGATCGACGAAAAGGTTTGCAATGGCCTACCTCTGACTTAAACTAGTGCACCTAATCTTTATTTTACATCAAACTTTAACTTGCTTGTCATTATGAAGACAAAGACAACTCTCAAGGACATAGCACAAGCAGAGGCAGACATAGCCAATTTGAAAAAAAAGGTTGAAGATCTGCAAATGCAGCTTAAACAACAGCTTGAGAGAGATCCTTGCAGTCGACACCAACCGAATCATAATGCCAAAACGTAAGCTTTCCATTGGATCTGTAGCATGCCATGTTTTCTTGTGTATATGTTACAAAAATATTTGACTATGTATGTTCTTGTTTTACACTTTATACAGAGAGGATAAGCCAAAGGGTACTGAAGCTGCTTTTATAGGCTCAGAAAAAGCAGCAGGAGCAGGCCAATATGCTCGGAATCGAGAAAAACGTAGAGCATCAGACAACAGACAATAGCCCTGAAGAAAGGATCCACTGTTAAGAAAACCCGAAGCCAATGATATGAATTTTGAAGGCCATGATGTCCTACAATTCAGATTAAAACTCAAGAATTAGGAGGTAAGTTTCCTGCTAGTCTTGGAATTATTTTTTCTGCATCGGACACATTGCTGATATCCTTGGAGAATTCACCTTAGGCTGTTGATGGTGCTTTGATTGCGGGGAAAGTTTATCAGGGAGGGATCTGCGATTTTTTTAGGTGCGATTGATTTAGATTCCCACACTAAAAGAAGAGAAGCTGATAAACCGCCCTCTAATCCAAGATGGAAAATGTCAATTATTATGTCCTTGATGGAAAATGTTGGCTACTGGTTTTTGTTGTCAGAGAATCCTAGTATGATTGATTTTTGTATTTGTATAGCCATATTCTTTACAAATGCAACCCTTCTCTTTCTTGATTCATATGAATATATAGTTTTAATTCATAGAACATTTTATATTCTCATTAATTTCGTAGAACTTTAATGTCTTTAGTGTGCAACAAGCAGCAAGCATTGTTGAGGCAGATGGGCTGAACCTTACGGTGTCATAGTGCATTTATTCCCATCTCAGCTACAAAATGCACCATGTTTTCAATCTACCATAACACAAAACAAACCGAGCTTCAATTTTCCATCTAAAACAAATAAGAAAAGGAAGTATATTTCTCTAAGAAGAAGAAAAACTCACGTTCTTTATCAGGGAATGGCTGCCTTGATGAAGTATATCTCTAATAACAATTCATGCATGATTTTACCAACATTTTTAGTAATTTACCTACCCTAAATTAACTTTGCTCGTCCTGGAAATACCCAAATCTCACAATATAATAAAGAAGATTTGGTTTAAAAGCTTGTCCAACAATCTGTTTTTCATGACTCCTGTTAATCCAACGGTGGAAACACCTCTCTAAATTATAAAAGTTTCATTATCCAAATTTTCAGATTTGACCCATGAATACAAAATAATATATTATTGTTATAGTTTAGAGGTCATTGTAAGTCGCTTTGGCCGAGTGGTTAAGGCGTGTGCCTGCTAAGTACATGGGGTTTCCCCGCGAGAGTTCGAATCTCTCAGGCGACGATTCTATTTTTGATTTCGTTGGATTTTATAGATGCTTCTCTGTAACCATATGGTGGGCCTTCAACACTTGTGTTAAAGATATTTATATATAAATTTGGAAGTCTATATTAATAGTATTTGACATACGGGTAATGTGTATAAATGGTTCCCTAATTATATAACGTTATTTTATTGAGTACTCTGACTATTAAAAGTTACAAAATAATCCCTCGAGTATAAGGCGTCCCTTTGTTGAGTCCTTAATTATTAAAAGTTACAAAATGATTCCCCGGTTATAGGGCGTCGTTTTGTTGAGTCTCCCGACTATTAAAAGTTACAAAATGATCACTCGACCATTCATATGTTCCAAACTCATCACTTTCTCTTAAAAAAATAATGATTGTTTGAGTTAGACGTCAACATGTTGACTGGAATATGATAAAATGTGATTCCATAATCAGTTGAGTTGTATTTTTTGGATCAACTCTCCGTTTACATTATGTTGTCGAATCAATGCTTAAAATATTATGTTATCGGGCTAGTGCTTAAAAGCAACGACAATATCGGTAAACATCATTAAAATATGATTTTATCATATCACAATCAAAAAGTTAACGTCCAGACGGTCGGGTGACCATTTTGTAACTTTAATAGTCGGGGGACTCAAAAAGATATCACCCTGTTGTTAGAGGACCATTTTGTAATTTTTCGAAAATAATTGAACCGCGGCTTTGCAAACCAGTTGATGACATAATGGTGTATGATATGATTCTTATTTGAGTTTTTTTTTATCTTTATTTTATTTATCTTTTGGGTTCGTTTTCATTAAGATTCTAAAATGATTAGCGTATGAAACTTATTAATGCAATTACAAATTAATATATGAAACTTATTAATGCAGTTAACTAACTTGTGTTTTGCGCAAATCATAAATCAGAGAAGTTTATTATGGTGGGGATTTTGTATTTTCACCTATAATAAAGTACACTTCTAATTTTATAGCATACTATGATCTGGTAGACAGATATATTTTTAATGTTTGTTATATGTGATATGATCAAGAACATAGATTTAATTGATCCTTTTCAGTTTTTTTTTTTTTTACAAGTGTTGGGTGACGTATTGTTTATTATTTCCGTTAAGCCATTAAACATTGACTATGATTATATGACACTGGTAGACAGTATTTATCTGTAATATACTGAATTTTTTACTGATTTATGGACGGGGAAGTCTTCACTTAGAAATCTTTTTTCTTCGTATTTTCAATTTGGCAATAAAGAAGGATGGGAAAGTCTGTGAGTCCGGGTTCGTAAGTAATGATCTATGGCATTGGTCGATCCCTTTAAGGAGGTTACTTTTCAATTGGGGAAAAGGTTCTTAGGATAGTGTAATTGGAGTGCTAAATTGCTTTTCGATCAATAATTTATTTCAACAAGATAGTCTCAGGTGGAAGATGAATTTGAATGGAGTTTATAAACCGAAGCAGGATTGTGAGCTAATTGCTTCAGCTGAATTGGTGGAGGATAAAGTTTGGGAGGTGGGTTGGATTAAAATCATCCCCCCTAAAGAGCAATTTTTTATGTGGAGGTTGGTGCTTGAAAGATTGAATTCAAAGACCGAACTTCGTTCGAGAGGTATTGTTTCTTCTGATCAGCCCGCTATGTCCCCTTTGCAAAGAAGATGTGGAAAATAGTTCATCTTTTTTGCCATTGCTCGGTGTCATGGAGGCTATGGATTTGATGCTGTAAAATTTGGAACGTTCATTTTGTTATGCCTTGTGATCTCAAATCTTTTGTTCTTACCTGGGTAAAATGTCCTATTCGAGCAACTCTCTTCTAGTGTGGTTGGTGACTCTTCATGGGTTAGCATGGACAATCTCGTTGTTTCGAAACGAGGTGGTTTTGGATGGAAAGAAAGTTGACGAGAACCAAATGTTCGACATATTCATCGCTAGGATTGCGTGGTGGTGTAAATGTAATTGGCCCGACAAGGTATTCTCCGTTAATAATTTCATTCTTGATCCTGCTTTAGTTTCGATTGGTCCTGTGATTAGGAAATGAAAATCTCTTGTGGCCTGCCCCAACATTGGACGATGTAGCGAAACTGTGGGCAATTTCGATTTGGCTATCAATTTGGCATGTGCTTGCGTGCGAATGCTTCTGGCAGATTGCTTCTTTTCCTGTTTGGCTTTGGCAGCTGCTGCAATCCTGTGTTTGCATGTTTTGTTTTGAGCAGCCGGCAGGGAGGTCCAAAGCTGGTTTATCTTGATGTAGAAATTAGGATCTTGCTTCGTCTGCTTTTATCGCCTTTTAGTAGGTTTATGATTTTCATCGTCATTTTTGTGTCTTTGCATCGGTTTAGGTTGTATTTGGGTGATCTTGTTTGAAATGTTCTCGGATAGTATCGGTGTAGTGTATTGTGACGATAGTGAATAAAATCTACCGGACACTCTTTTTCCCCTTCTACTGTCTTGGTTGACTTGGCTTAACCAAGTTAAAGGGGGTTTATTAACGAGGTTCGAAATTTCTTTTTTAAAAAAATGTTTCTGTAATAAAATAGTGTCATTTTAGAGTAGGAGCGTAAAGTTAATGAAGATTATGATAGAGAAGAAGTATAGGTTGAGGAAGATTATGATATAGTTCCAATTGCTGTGTGTAAAGCTGCTGTTTATTTCATTGGTATAGAGTGGGACGAGTGGAAATCTATGCTCCAGAGCCTGATTATGAAGTTCAATCTTCAATGGAATCTGATATAAATACTGGGGTATCGTCGAAAAGTGATTAAACCACGATTATTTCCGATCAAAGCGACAGCAACATCGGTAAGAAGGTTTCGGCAGACGGAGCAGAACAGAACAGGTATTTGAAGAAGATAGTACATGCGTTGATACATGTACCCATGTATAAGAAACATTATGCCACAACCAAGTTTCCTCCACTTGAAGATATGTTTTGGTAGCCATGAAAGAAGAATATGAAGAGGAAAACGTCGAAACAGATTCGATGGGCAAAGTTCCTACTTCGATAGATTCAAAGGATTATAAAATAGTTTATCTAAGAGCAGTGAAGAAGTCGTGAAACTGGAACTCTACGCGGCAGAAACGTTCCCAGTAGCAAGTGATAAAACCAGCCACAAGCCAAGAAGCAAGTTCTCATTCACTAGAAGCTATGCAAAGGAAGAATTTAATAGGATTCACAAACAAGAGAAGGAACATGGATATTCAATTTTAAACGAAGATTTGAACATTGATAAGCAACGAGGAGGGTTCCATAATCCATAATATAATCATTATCAGCTACATAATTCTCCTTGGGTCCAGTATTATCAACATACTAACTGAAAAGAAGTAAAACAAGAATGCACATTCAGTTTTTCAACAAAGATCAGGACTCGAAACTTCTTGATGAAAGAAATGAACTTGGATTCCGGGTGAGTCGATAATAAGTGATTGGAGCTTTGCAGTATAAGTTCCCAAACTAGCAGAATTTGAGCTTTGCTCTTCTGTACCTCCTACACTACCACTAGCCTCAGTAGACTTGCTTTGTTCTGCGGCTTTCTTTGTCAAAATATCATCATGGAACAACTTAAGTGCATCAAGAGAAGAAAGTGAATTCACAGATCTATATAACTCCTGAAATTTATCTCTCTTTTCTTGTGTTTCAATCAATCTCTCCCTTAACACATCCGGAAGACAATCCAGTGCGCTTTTAAAGGTAAAGAACACAAAAAAGAACAAAATTTGAAATAAGATTCAGAGTAATGTTGTGCAGAAAATGCATAAGCAGTGGGTTCTAGACATTAAATATATATATATCTTCTTCATTGTACCTGGTAACACCTCTTGTAATGCCCCAGTTGTATCCTACGGGAACTGATTGCTTAAAGCCGATATTAAAACCTTCTTGTGCAGAAGCTTCTTTCCCTGCTATTAGGCCATCTCGATAACCGATCTAGAAATTCTCAACAGAAAACTGACATCAATTACTAAACAAATAAACTTAAAAAGTAAAATCAAAAATTATCAGGTACCGTATGGAATTGGTCATGCCTTCTCTGCCATTCTCGATCTAAATCCGATGTTTTATCCAATTCCTCGTCTGAACCACCCCATAAAGATCCATCGTCGGCCTGAATGTCAACCTCACTGGAATCTGAAAACAAGAGAAAAAACAGCAATTCTAAATAATGTAAAACTTCTGGTAGCCATGGAATTGGTAGGATTAACTAACTACCATTGGCAGTTGAAGGATGGCCTAATTGTAAATTGGATAGCTGCAAACTTTCTGAATATAGCTCTTGGGCAAATTTATCATCCATTTCTCTGTAACAAAAAAATAAGGGGAAAAATCACTTAAGCATTTCATCAGACACCTTCGATTCAACGTCTTTTTACTTGAGTTGAAACCTAAAAGTATAAAAGTACAAGCACTGAGGCAAGCTTTGTTTTTTGCTCATCTAAAACTAAAACAAGAATTGTCTCACAGTCACAAGAATCTTCGAATTCCAACATAAATTTCTGAAGAACAAGCACTTCTAAAACAAACTAAAATAAAAAGACAACAAAATCAAAATAAAGATTTCCAAAGCTTGACTACAAATTAGATGCACCCTCCCGTTTCAGTTCTTTTAAAAGCTCCAAAATCCCAACTCAGCTAAAGGAGTAAAAATCCAGAACATCAGAATCACAACTCATCAACATAAAAAACAACCCCTTGAAAGAAATATATGAAAACAACTACCATATCTTCTGCTCACTTGTTCAAAATAAAAATTCACCAGAACCCTCCTTTTACCTAGACTACCAAACAGAAGCTGAAACTAGAAATCACCTAAAAATCTCAAATTTTTAAACAAGACAACAAAATATGGAAGTAACAACAAGCAATTCCATCCTCAACTAAAACCATAGGTTTCTCTTATATTAGAACCTTCCTTTCTTATGAAACGATTGTTTCTCGAGAAAAAAAAAAGAAGAAAAAAAAAGCAAACTTCAGAGCATATGCAAATATATAGAATTGAAAAGGAGAGAAAATACCAGGGATAAATCGCATGCGATAAGATAGGACACTGTGGGGTCGTCCCTGAAAAGCTTCAAAAACTTCAGTGTTTTTTTCAGTCCCTGTTCTTGTTCGTGAAAAGGAGAAAGCTTCGAACTTTTCAGCGTTACTGAAGAGGAGGGGAGGAAGCTTTCCTTTTTAGCCCTTTTTTTCTCCTAATTTTCAACTGGCACTCATAGTTTCTTTACCCCTTGCGTCTTTTTTTTCTTTTAGCAACGGTTGGGATTGTAGGATGTTTCATCTAACGGCTGTCTTTCTATTTTATTTCATAAAGAGAGAATCTTATATTGATGATAAATTTATAGTATTAACCTCCCTACCAATACCATGTAGACTGTAGACATAACTAAAAATATTAATTAATAAAGTATCATCTGATATACACGTTGTGTAAATATCTTAGTGATATACGGTCTATTTAGAATGTATAGTTTAAGATTTTAATATTTCAGATTTAGAGTTTATGCGTTTGATTTTAGGATTTAAATTTTAAGAAAATTTAAAAAATATTAAAATAATTATAAAGTAATATTATTCTAAATATTGTTAGTTTTTTCTTCTAGTTTTTTCTCATTAGTAAGTTGTTTATCTCTTTTTTTTTATTGATTGACGATGATACCAACTTTAATGTTGGTTGCCGACTGTTGACATTCTTTATTATCATTTTTTCCTCTTGTTTTATTTTCAATAAGTTTGTCTGTATGACATTTTTCTCTGTCTCTATGACACATTTTCTTATATATTTTGACATGTTTTCTTTTGCCTTTTGGTACGTTTTCGATCGTTTGATCGTTGTTTTTATTTATCATTTTCTAAGGGTTGATTAGATATCGCCACGACTGATCAATACGACACTTATATGTTATATTGTTGATCTTTCCTGCTTTGGACCATCGAATTGGATTTGGATACTCATTATGTACGTAGATAGTTTTGCACGTCGCTCGAGTCTGATTTACAGTTTGTCGGTGGTCTTTCAATAGCTTGATCCCCTTTTATGATTCGTTTGCCAATGTGATCAGATCTGTTTGTATATACCTTTGTTCGAGTTTTCTTAGTTAGATTTTAATATTTCCTTGTATGATTCTTATGTGATCTTAAATTTCTAGTTTTTTTCAATGATTATAGGAAATTGTCCTAATTATATGTTTAATTTACGATTATGATTGTAAATCTTTATTGTAATTTAGGATATTTCCTATTTTGAATAAAATTAATTATTTATTTCAAAAAAAATGTTGTTCTAAATACTCTCAATCATTTTGACAATAAACATCAAATCACCCTTGCAGTTGCTAGTATTTAAACCCATAACCTCTAGAAACAATAATGATTCTTGTAATCATTAAAATAAATTAATTGATGCTAAAACTTAAAATTAAATAAATATAATTAGATAAATAAAAATCACATCACCTATACATATCAATTAATAATTCAGGCTGTTAGACCTAGAATTAGCTTGTTAGAGCTATCAATATGAAATCGTTAGTATACTAACAAAAATACATAGTAAATGAATGTACTAAGATCACTATGCAGAATTTATCGATGAAATCTTTATAAATTCCTTCTATTCTTCTATCCTTTTTCTTCTTCTTTTTTCTATTTCTTGGATTCGAACATAACAAGATTGTTACAATTGACATCGGAACAAGATTATTGGTCCAAAATACAAACTCATAAATCAAAGAAAACATAGAAGATGAATTCAATAACAATATAAACTAGAGTATCAAGAGAAGTTTGAGACCTTACTTATCCAAAAAAAAAAAAAAGTTTGAGACCTTTGATGTTGCAACAAAATTCTGAAATAGGAAAAGAATATTTTTGTGTCCAACTTTGTGAATGGGCTGAAGAATGAATCAAAGCATAAGGTTAAGGTACACGAACCTAAAAGTTTAGTTGATGGTTATAGAAAGAATAAGATGAATTAGCTTTGGAAATCGAGAGTAAGAAAAACAAGTCCTTATATGTAACACCTCTAATCCGTACCCGACCCGGATACGAGTCCGAGATATCACATTGACTTTTTAAAATAATATTCTTACAAAATAATAAAACATTTTGGCTTATATTAAGGAAATGCAATAATATACTATTGAATTATGTTTCGTTATAACAAATTTAAAATAAAAATGTTTTTATGAATAGTATTATACTGTATGAATAGTATCGATACTGTGTGAATAGTAATGAACATTACCAACGCTAAAAAAAATCCAAAACGCTACAGGGGTATCGATACCCTGTTACAGTGTATCGATACTCTGTTACCGTAATTTCGGCCAAACACATATAAAACTCAAAAAAATTTAAACTTTCATCATTATACAGTTACCCTTTACATAAATGCGTTTAAAACATTACAAAACTCGATCAAAGCATACATACTAAATTTATCGACTTGTTTACATGCCAACCTATTAATCACATAACAATACATACTGTGTAATTTACTTCTAATCTGATCTTCAAGTGGAGATATGTTATTCTGCTGAGCTTATATTGGATCCTTCTGCTTTTCGGTACCTACGTGTAAAACTCTTACACGCTAAGTCATAGACCTAGTGAGGCATAATAATAATGACAATAAAATATAATGAAAATGTCATAATGAAATGCAATATCATGAAATCATATATTCAATCTATACAAATCACATAACCATGTATCTTACCCATGATTTTATTAAATTATCCATCATGAATTCACATCAATAAGTCCAATAGCCCATAATACAATACTGAAAACCTGAGGTATGTGAGTATTGTGAAGTTGTGCACTATGCTGTCACCACAACTCGTATAAATTACACCAAAGTGTCACGTAGAATTTATCCCGAAGGACTGCGTAGAAATGCACCGTAGTGTCATATAAGATTTGTCCATAAGAACCACATAGAAATTTCTTAAGAATCATATAAATATACCAAGGATCAAGTAGGTGTCTCAAAGACCTCATACATGTTCCCAAGAATACATACATGTCTCAAAGGACCACGTAGAATTGTCTCGAATGATCGCGTAGACCCTCTACTCTTGGCATGCCAATTATACCTATAGTTCTCATCTACATAACATGGGCTTTCACAATTCACATAGTTTATATCTCATAGACATGTAAATTCTTACCTTTATCACATAGCTCATGTAACTTTTCAAACATATTCACTTAGAACATTGTCACATAATGCATATAATATGAATTCATGTCATGTATCATAATATGGAATGTCATCATGTATCAATATATTAAATCTAAACTTATCACAAGTCTAGAACTAAATATACTACTATATTCATGCTATGCATATGCACTCACCTATATCTCTTTGCCTTTCCCTCGATCGATCTTATTGGTTAATTATTCAGGAACTTGTTTAGGTTCAATATACATAAATATAATTTTCAAGATGATTATCAGATGCCTAAACCTTGTAATTTGATACTAATAGCTTAAACGAATTTAATGAATCAATATTCAATTTTTCCTTTAGGGGGTATCAATACACTCCTTAAGGTGTCGGTACCCTTATTGCATTATGTGATTTTTCGTTCAAGAGAGTATCAGTACACATACATATGGTACCGATACACTCTGCCCAAAACAGGTTTTTTCTCCAAAAAATTCTTCTCTTCACTGAATTTCCTCATACAAAGCTTCTTTCATACCACCAAACTCAACTACAACTATTTTAACTAACTTCTATCAGTCTCACACCTTATTATATCTCATACTTCATTCAAATTCCTAAAACTAAGAATCTTACTAAATTTTCCATGTAATCCAAACTAATTTCTAACACTTATAACTTCTTATTCACACCTATGACAAATCAAATTCAACTTCTAAATTCATTTACACATCCTTATTCAAAATTTCACTTATCCATTTCTTATCTTTAATCCTTCATAATTTACAAATATTTGAGTTTCTATGACCTTTTTCATCTCCATCATGTTTCTTAAGTATTCCTTAATCAAAACCATACTTTAATCTTAAGGATTAAGCCAAAAGAAATCAAACTCACATTGGCTTGGGTGCTTCACGTTGGAGAAGAAGAAGATGAAGATTAGAGAATTGTCTGAAACCTTATTTCCTCAAAACATGCTCCACATGGGTATTAAAATACCCAATACTTATTATTTAATTATTTTCCTTGTTTAATGACTCATTTACCCTTTGATTATTCCTTCATTTACTAAACCATCCTACACCAATATATTTCAATTAATTCCTTCACTTTTCAATTTATCTAATATGGTCATTGAATTTTAAAATCTTACACTTTAATCACTAACTCGGTTTTGAGGATGTTACATTATAAGATTAACTCATACGAAAATCAACATACTGATCAATAAATTTATAACCTACTAATGGAAGTAAAACAAAGGAATGACACACCCTAAAATAATATAAGAGAGACAATCATCTATGTTGTAAATGTGGAAAGAAGTTTAGATCTGTTCATTGGTGTAAATAGAAACAACTTAATATGGTAAAAGAAGAGACGAGTTATGAGACAAAATTGAAGAGATAAAGGAAGATAAGAATTAGAAGTAGCAAGTGAGGAGGTAGAACAAGAGAGGGCTTAGAGACTTTTGTTAATGCCTTGACAAGTAATAAGGGGGCATAGTTCCATCAAAATATACAGATCAATTAAAAGGAAATCTATTTTAGTGGATTGTGGGAGTACACAAAATTGAGATTTATGGGATGTCTAGTGGGTGGGAAGAGAATAATTTATTGTTATATGAATATGAGTACCTTTAATAAAGTATTTTAAAAAATTATGAGGTCAAATTTTAAAAATTAAAAAATAAGTTATATATAAAATAAAATTTTCATTTCAGCGAACCAAAAATAAAAATTTAAGATAAAATGGCACTCAAGGTCTATGTACTTTAAAAAATTAATGTAGCCTTCAAACTCAAAGAAGAACTTAATCTGTCGGTGACCGCCGCCGCCTCCTTCAGTGGTCTTCGTGAACAAAGGGGTAAGGTCGAACCGTTTTGATCCTCTGAAGTCGGTTCGTTTCCCCCAAACACAACCCTGATCACTGCAAATCTACAAAATTATTATTCAGTTGTC